GAGATTTGTCCAGACCAGAGAGATCAAGCGAGATCTGTCCAGACCAGAGAGAGAGAGAGAGAGAGACAATGAGATCGAGCGAGAGGGAGAAAGCGAGGGACGAACCTGATCGACGACAACGACGACCCTGATTGGCGAACCTAGGGCTTGGTTGGTTGATAGAGACTTCTCCTCCTCCTCCTTTGCTGTTGTTGTTCGCGACCTAGGGCTTGGTTCGTTGATTTTTTTGTTTAATTTTACATTACTCTTTGTTATTTTATAGTTTGACCCCCATTATAAGTTTTTTAAATTATTTTTTTGCCTCGCCGTATCCCGAAAGTATCCCAACCGTATCCTTGAAGTATCCTCGCGTATCCCAAACGTATCTGAAATTCAAAAAATTAAAAAAAAATAGGATACTTCTCTGTCGTATCTGATACGTATCCCGCCGTATCGGACGTGTATCCGTATTCGATACGTATCCGACACGCATACGGGGGCCATTTCGAAATTTCTGTGCTTCATGGAGAATGATCCTCTCCTTAATGGATTTACATGTATTTATAGTGAAATACAGTTGAGGCAGTATTCTTCCTGCAGGTTCTTGCATCATCCTTCCAATTAGCTATTCATCCATGCATCATCCATCCATTAGCTTTGCTTCATGCCATCATTCATCCGATTGCATTTGAAGCCCACGTGAGCCACCTTTTCTAATTGACCATGCTACCTACTGAGAAAAGAAGTTTGCTTGATCAATTTGACTTCTTTTTCTTCATTTCCTTTTTTTTAATTGCTAATCAAACCCAAATCTTCATTCTATTTGGAAATTATTTTGCAAAAATTAAAACTAAATAATTGAACTTGCTACTAAAAATAAAATGAGAGAATTAATTTAATAAAGGGGGAATTTCAAAACAGTGGAACAGACAAATTATAAAAACCATGTGGGGTGCAAGTAGTTTTGTGATGGTGTGCAAGTGAAAGGTTGTGGGGGTACAAGTCACTTGCACCTCTCCATGTTTGTGTAAATTTTTTTTTTTCCTCCCGTTGGGGTGTAATTCCCCCTTTAATAAAAGTGTATTAATGATTAAAAAGAACAAAATAATTATACACTTTTAACCATTCATCATAAGCAATTGTAGAGACAGGCATTGTTATGGCATCACATGCTACTTGAGATAGCACTGGATACTTAAAAGAATTGGCCTTCCATCATTCCAATATATGAAAATTATCATCTTTAGAACCTTCACAGTGTTCACGCAAGTCATCGTAATACTTATCCACTAAGGACCTTCATAAACCAGAATATGTCGCCTCCAAAAAAGAACTAAATTGAGAAGCAATGAGATGTGGATCATCACAATCATCATATATCCTCTTCTTGGATGCTTCGCTCAGATTAGACACTTGGACACTGCGTGAATCATAATACGCATATAATTGAGTCAAACAATCCTTTACCTGATCTATCATCTCATTCTCCACTTACTCAACAACTAATTGTCAAAAACAAAATTTCAAATTTTTCATTTTTTTACAAAGATCAAGTACTGCACCAACATACATTGGTAGATTTATTTTTTCCCATTCCCCTCAATATTTGTCAAATTTTGCTTTCATGTTTTGCGCCATTGTAGACAAAACATTGTCTTTTGTTTTTATTTTTTTAATTTTCCTGATTAATTGCTCTTTGTTTGAATCTATATTACATGGACTTGGGTAAAAGTATCGGGTGTGGGTGCGTATCTAAGCGTGAGACCTTCATAAACTTAAATATTAGGATCTTGGGATATACATATCCAAAATTAGATATGGGTACGGGGACACGTCATGTACAGACACACACATATATATGCGTGTTGTGTAATATTCTATTGTAAATTATGTAGAACTTTACCACAAATTGAATAGGATTCAAGAAAAGTATGAAATTTTTTTTTCTAATTCATAATATTGCTTTACTGGCAAATGTGAGTTTTTTCTTCTTCAAATATTGTAACAAATTAAAGTATCTGAGTGTCTGAATTAGGTATGGGTGTCAGACACATATCCCACACCTTTACCCTTGTCATATCTGGTAGACACGGGTATTTTTGGGGAAATAGAAGAGTCCATGTAACACAAGTTTGAATGACAAACAACTCATCCAAGAAACAATTAGAAGTGACGAACAGAGACCTGGAAAACTGAACTGTTTGGTTGCATTGTGGAAAAGTCTTGAGAATTTTAGAAAAAACCTGCAGTTGTTCTAATCACTCTTAGTTGGAGGTCTTGATGACTTCATTTTCCACTTTCCTTTGCCTCGCTCATTCTTCCAAAGTCTTTCTCAAACTTCTCAGTGGCATCTAGCATTAAATAGGTGGAATTTCACCTAGTTGGTACATCAAGGCACAGTGGACTCTTGGACTCAATTTTTTGTTTCTCTACAGGCTTCTTAAAAAGGTCAAGCAGCCTATTGGGTGAGATCAAACTTCTCAGTGGCATCCAACATTAAATAGGTGGAATTTCACCTAGTTGGTACAATCAAGGCACAATAGATTCTTGTAGTCAGTTTTTTGTTTCTCCAGACACTCTTAAAATGCTCAAGCCTATTGGGAGAGGACCTCACATACCTCAACACGTCATACTGTGTATGCATGTAGTTCTTTCAATTCAAACCATCACTCACAATAAGATTAAGAATATATCTATAACAACGCATATATAAAATCATGGCCCAATATAATGCAGCTAGCAGCCGTGCGTGCTTTGTGGACAGTTTGGACAGAACGCAATAGGATGGCCTTCAAGGATGATGAGTTATTGTTGTGCAGCTCAAAAGGATCCCTCATCCTCCTTCTATTTTTTTGGTTGAGAGAGGGTTTCCCTTTCTCTATTGGGTAGTTCATAGGAGATTTGTATATGTTTATGGTCCTATAGTTTTTAAGTTACTGTGTTCTGACTTTTCTTTTTGAGTGTACAGGGTTTGCCCCCTTAAGGTGTTTTTTGGTAATATACTTCCACTTGTTAAAAAAACAAAAAAGGAAGAACGATAGAAATGTTTGGACTTTTCTTGTTCAGGCTAACCTGATATTTTTTTTTATCACTGAACATTTGAGAGGATTTTCTGATGGTCTGATTCATAGAGGAGAAAAAATTGTTCTTTTTGTTATCTGTTGGATGTTGAGGAGGTACCGTGATTGTGATTGTGTTTGTGTCCTTCGAACACAAGGTTCTTTTGAGATAATCTATGTTCTCTTCTCCATTTGTTGTACAGTCAGTTGCATAAACAACTTGCTTTGACATGAAGTTTTAAGTTGAACTCTGTGATAATCCCTGATGCATTGGAATGAACCTAATTGATAGATTTGGTGAGAAGAAATGAGATGTTAGGCTGATAAGTGATTTCATGGTTCTGTACAATTTAATGATATTTAAGGCCTCTCCTAGTGTAATACTCTATAACTATTTTGAATCTATTTTATTTTGTTTGGATCATGGATTTGGTAAAGGGAAAGGAAAAGATGAGAGAAATGTGAATGAAATATAAGTCAATTATTTTCTCTATTTCCTTTCCTTTTCCTTTGTCTTTCCAATTCCCTATCCAAATTTATGATCCAAACAGAGTTTTGGATAATTTCAGTTCTTTGATACTAAATAGGTTCCTCATCTGTCCATAATGTGAATACCAATCTAGTATGTTTAGGACTCCCTCATTGGACTGGCTTTGGGTTTTTCCCTCTTTTACCCCCTCTGTTTTGATTAAAACACCTATGGCTCATTCCAATTAAATCATGCATAAGAGATTATTGGGAAGGTGTCAATCAGTGCAGATGCTTAAACCATGTTATGCCAAAGCAGAAATCTTGGAATTCTTGTGTTTTTTGTGGAATTAAAAGAGTCCAAAATGGCAATTTATTATAATGACTGCAGAGTAGTGAGGAGATAATAAAATGAAGAGGTATTTCTTAGTGACCTAATTGGCTAATAGTTTTGAGAGACCTTCATTTTAATAATGTTAAACAATCTAGCACTTAATTTTCATAGGGATAAAAAGAGTTGTCTTGATGGATTCACCACCATGGTTCAAAGCATTGATGAGCTCTCACACAACTTGATATCAGATGGAATTTTGTGATATTCTACACACTAATAGTTCAAAGAAAAAATTAAATGAATCAAATCAAGCCCAAAGCAATTAATGTAGCGACTAGGCCATGTAATCTCCTTCTAAATCAAGATTCTATCGCATAATTATCATTGAGAAATTCCCAAACCTTTTATGTACGTTAACCATTTCAACAAAGAAGAAGAAGAATTAGAATTTGTATCCATGTGCTTCATGAACCATCATATACCTCGTATTTTTGCATTTCAAATGTGACTTTTAACTCTGAAATTTGAAAACCAAGTAGGAAAAGAAAAAGAAAAACACTACTTAGATACAAACTTGGGCTAGACAACTCCAAGAAGCATGAATTTCACTGAAAACTAGCTTTCTGTTTATCCAGAAAGGAAGTAATACAAAAAATAAACCTAACTTTTTTAATAATCCTTACATTATGAGGGGGGATTGAGAGGAAAATATCTTGTCTGCAGAGACTGTAGAATACTATAATTAAACTGCAAGGCTGTATCAATCTCCTTTCAGTTAAGATTTGATTGCTTAATTTTCCAGAGGAATGAATTGACACGGTTTTTCGATGAGAGCAGGTTTTGGCTTGGAAAAATGAAGAAAAAAGATTTTATAGGTTATTAATTGTTGACAGTGCCTCAAAAAATTAATTTGCTTATATGCATTTGCATAACTATTGAAGATAATGGGGTGGGTTTCCAGTAACAAAGCCCACCCGAACCCCAGTAGGACAGGTTTAAAGTGCAGGCAGATCATTTAATCCTATGTCTTATGTTATGTGTGCTTGCCTATTCATATGATTACCCTTTTATGATCAGGCATCTACAAGCTTGGCCATTGCTTCTCTCTCTCTTGGAGTTCATGCTGTAAACTAGGATTGATGTAATTTTTAACTTTGCAGAAGGGTTCCAAGGTTCAGGCGGCCAATGCGGTACAGACCATACTGATGATGGTGAATCTTGCTCTATTTGTGGCCGCGGCTGAGGATCCGATGTCTTGTTCAAGTAGTGGCCAACAGTCACAGAAGTTAGCTTATTATGATCGTATCAGTATTTCTGTAACATGGAGGAATGGTGTTTTCATAAGAACTTGTATCATCATATGCATGCCAAAAATGCAGATTTTCATTTTGTTTTTTCCTGTCCGATGTTTTTAGCTTGTAGGAGTAAGGGAGTTTAAGTTCTTTGGTTTCTTGCATTTACCTGCTTTGGAGAGAGAAAAAAAACGAAGATGCAAATAAACAAAATATTTGTAGTCAAAATGATTCTGAAATGTTTATGAATTGGAAGTCCTTTTTTTAGGTGTTTTTTTTTTTTTGGTTGGTGGGCAAACTTGGTAGATACTGTAGTAGCCTCTAGTGGGACTTGAACTGGATGAGGACAAAGCAGCTCATTGCCTTCCCATCCATCCGGATGGTGTCTTCAGTGATTCTGAAATCTGAGATTGGTAATATTATGTTGGGTTAATCACCTTTTTAGTCGCTCAAAATATGCAAGTTGTCATTTTGGCCTTCAATGTTCAAATTGTGTTAATTTAGTCCTTAATTTATCTCTGGAGAAAGGGTTCAAATGTTTGTCAATTTGTGATCTATTTTTTTAATGCTTTGATGAAGAGATGGTGGATCTTTACACAGCTTTGTCTGCAATTTCTATGATCATATAGCAATTCCTGAAATGCAGCTATCAAGGTTAAATGAACTTTAAGGTAGGTTGCCATGGTTGGAGCTGTACCAATCTCAGTTTTAGGAAGTAATCAATCTTGCAATTAAAGAGGAATACATATGGAAATGCGTTGTCCATAAGTGCTAATGCATGGTGCTGTATATAGAACCTTTTTCTGTGTGGATGCAAGTAGTATTTTTAGAACTTGAGATGGTGGATCTTAAACTTATTGCAGCTTATTTTTGGTGAAAATAGGTTGAATTTTAAAAGCTGGGCCAAGGTTGCTTCTCAGCTTACAGATTATGCAGGCAACTGTTACACCATAAAAACCATCACATTACATTCCTAATTTTTTATACCTACATAAAATTACATTTAAATTTTTGTTTTTGGCACTCTGCTATCAATTGCTGCCACTTTTGCTGCTAGCATTACCCACTTCCTAGCACCCTCCACTCCGCCATTCTCCATACCCATGACACCGTCCCCCACCTCTCCCTAGATTCACCATCTCCAAGCCTCTTACTTTCTTCTCTCATCATCCACCGCCTCTCCTTTTACTGCCGTCGCCCTGCACCTCTTCATTCTTCTTTTTAGATCAAAATCCACGCAATGAAGGGGATGGGGATGGGGATGGGGATGGGGATGGGGAGGACTAGTCTGTGATGGTTGCAGGGTAGGGAGGGGTTGTGATGGATAAGGTGATGATTGTAATTGTTGGAGTAGGTGGTGGGGATGGATGTATAGTTAGGAGTTCAAAAATCAAGGAAATAGACAGAACATGTGATGTTATTGATGCTTATATTTGGAATGATTAATGATGTAATGAGATAAAATAAAATTTTTAAATTTTACGATGTGTAATTAGAAAGTGGGATGAGGATAATATTTGTTGGGTAAATTAACATTTTAGAGGCATTGTCTGGTAACGCTTTCGTTCATTGTTTTTGTTGTGTTAAAATTTGTCTTGTAAAAAAATTTTTCCCCTCATTATTTGAAACCACATTGGTAAATATGAAAGGTGATTTTGGTAAGGTTTATGGTTTTATTGTTTTGTAATATGAAAGGTGATTTTGGTTTCACTGCTTGTTTTTGAAAATGAAAATAATATTAAATGGATGGTGTTTAATTTATTTTATTTTTTATAAATATAAATAGAAAGTTATATTAAAATAATATTAAATTGTTTAATTCAAACAGGCTCTCTATATAATTTTTTCTTTTTATAAAAAATCATTTACTTTTATATTAAATTTGTCCATATAATGGAGGAGAAATTACTATATTTTCTTAGTGTGAAAAATTGTATCTTCATAAAATAAATTATATAAAAAGCACTACAAGATTTGTGAAGTATTGTTATTTTCTAAATAAGTATCAATTTTTATAGAAAAGTTAACACAAAAATAAAATAAACATAGTATCATTTTTATAGGTGTTTATTTTAAAATGAAATATCTACATTGACCATTAAGGGATGTCTTTAAATGCACCCTAAAAGTTTGTCACACATCCCATTTCTTAATATACCCCACTGTTAAACATATCCCCACCAAGCCACCCTCTTAACCACCTTCGCCGCCTCCACCATTTCTCTCTTGGAGGGTTGTTGACCTCTTTCATTCCTTCTCGTCACCACTATCTTCGTCTTCTTCCCTAAACTCTAGATCTAGAGTTCGTAGCAAGAAATGAACGGGAAAGGGGTTTGCAACTGGGCTAGGGGTGGGGTTGGGGAGGAGGTGGTGACAATGGAGAAGGGCAGAAGAAGAGTGAAGAATAGAAGGTTACTGTAATAGAAAGGGGGCTAGGAGAGGGATGACCAGAGGTAGGGTTGAGGTTTAGTCATTTTGTTAGAGTGGTAAGATATTATTTTATGGGCCGTGCTACATCCCCCTAATTTGAGGAGCCCTAATCTCCCGAAAATTGAGACCAAGGCAAAAAAAAAATTTCCCAAAACGACGTCGTTTTGGGGATTAGGTGGATTAGGGGGGACTTTTTTAGGGTTCCAAATCATTTCCCTTATTTTATTTTATTTTTAAAATGAAGTGTCCAATCAAAATTTTGGATTGCATTTTAAGCCACCACGATTGAGCCATGTTCTTTGTAAATAAGATTGAGCCATGTTCTTTGTATAAGATTTTTTTGTTTGAAAATAAATACTCTTCAAAATGTAAAAAAAATTATCCCTATATTATAATCATTTTTCTATTTCATTATTAAATTATCAATTTCGTCAGACTTCATTTGGGATGTAGGTTGATTTTTTAACTATTTTAATCTGCAGCTAAAAAACTTCGTTTGTGATGAGTTTTTTTACTTTTTTGATTTTTGTAAGAGAAAAATGAAAAAATTATGATTTGGATGTGACATTTTTTAGCTTAGACTAAAAAACTTATTTTTTTTTTTATAACTATTTTATCTCCAATCCACCCCGACCGAACTTTCCAAAACAGTGTTTAATCCCTAAAGTTTCTACTTTTTGTTCATGTGATCTAATTGATGACGATTATATAAATTAATAATTTTTGGAAGCCTAATTTAATGAAAAAAAGTTATTTCAAAATTTGAAAATTTTAAATCATACAATAAAACACTTACTTTTCTATTTGTTCTGTTAAATAAAAAGATTGTAATAAGGGGTATTTATAATTTCTAAAATAGTTTGTATTTCAAGCAAATCTTAAAAGCATATTTATAATTATTCAACAATTTAATAATTGTTCATCATTCCCTTTTTTTTTTAAACTTATTTTATACGAAGACTCCTCAATTATTAACAAATATTATTTTATTTCTCATATATGAAGTTTACATTTTAATTCTTTCAATTATAAAAATATATGTATTACTTTCACCTCCTTCATATCATTTCCACAAAAAATATATACATATATATATATATATATATACGATTTTCATAATTGAAACTTAGGCTATGTTTGGGAAAAGAGGTATTGTAGTAAAAAAAATCATTATAAATTATCATACAATTCTTTTTATTTTCTATATATTTTTTCATAAAAAATAAAAAAATGAACTAAATTAACCAATTCTTAAGCGGACTCTCAATACGCGCAAATACGTAGTGTAATAAATCCTTTTTTTTTTTTTTGGAAAATATTTGAAACTTCAATTAATCTCCTACAATTTAATCCGCAATAATTTGATTTGATAAGTGTGAATTTTAATTGATTATAGGCTCAATAATATAAGATACACCACTCTTATCATATCATTGTAAATGTATTTACGGGTATAAAATATGAGTCTCTAGTATTGTTATTTTTTTTTCTCTCTCAACTTGATTTTTCTGAAAAAAAAAAAAAAAACCTTGCACTCCATTTGGTTTAATTTTTAAATTAACTCTTGGATTGCAAAAAATCAAAAAACATGTTTTAGTTTACCATTTTTGAAAATTGTTTATTTTCTCTCCTTTCACCCTTTTTTATTTTATTTTAATACACATCAATCAATTTTCTCTCTCCTCTTTCCTAACTATTTTCTCACATTCTATGCATTAAATAATTAATTTTTCTCTTATAATCACCTATTTAATTAAAAATAAAAAATTATAAGCATTTTAAAATTATTTTTAAAATTCATAACTAAATAAAGTTTTATATTTCAAAACTAATTTCAAAAACCAAACGGAGCCTTGATTTTTCTTTTCCGAGGAAGAACAGGTCTAGCTGGAAACCCGAAGACCTCTGAAACAGGTGAAGTTAGGGTTTCACACCTATGGCTTCTAATCAGGAAACCGACGCTTCGGCCAACACTCCATCCTCGTAAAGATTCTCTCTCTCTCTCTCGTTTAACTCTCCGTTTGGTCGCCCAGAAAATTGGAGGTCTTCTGTTCTTTTGTTTTCTTTTTCCCCCTTTTCTCTGCTACCAAACGAAGTAAATGTCTTGATTGCTGCTCTAATTTCTATAATTATATGTTTTTCTCTTTAATTTTCTGTTAATAGTAACTAAATATGTACTGTTTCAGCCCGAAAATCATATACAAGGATCCAGATGATGGACGCCAACGGTTCTTGCTCGAACTTGAATTTGTGCAGTGTCTTGCTAACCCCACCTACATCCACTGTATGCTTTAAGAACTTCTCAAATTCCTATATTATTGTTGCATTGAGTGCCTATTTTCTTTGGTGAAATTCATGCATATTTTGCAAACCTGTCAATAAGAACTATGGTTTGTACTAACCTGCTTCAATTGTTTTTATGCTATGTATTGCATCAAAGGTTTTTCTTGTTTGGACTGATCAGTCATGTGGTATGTTGCCAGAAAATACTAATACTCTAGCGAATTATGTATTGCACGCATGGTACATTTCTGCTCCAAAATGGTATAGTTAGTGTTCCGAAATGATTTCAAAAGTTTTTTTTTCAATATGTTTCCTTAAAGACATTCTTAGGAGGAAAAACATCAAATATAATGATTTAAATTCTGAGGTGAGTTAAGTTTTGATAAAACAAAACATCAAAAATAGGTTATAATGCTCATATAAATATTTTGTTATTTGAAGAAAAAAAGAAGAAGAAAGAAACGAAAGAAAATAGAATAGAAATAAAAACCCTATATTACTCTACAAGTACCTTAAATTCGCAAGTGTAATATATACAAGTCTACCCCCTAAGAAGTACGGACACGTGACATGACACAGACATGCGGACACATTGAGGACACGTTTAAAATATATATTTTTATTATATGTATATGTTAAATATTTAATATATATTTTATGTCAAATATTTAATTTTATCAAATTTATCAACTTTAAGTATGCTATTTATTTTAATTTTTTTTGAAAAAAGTAGTATTTAGTGTGTCCCTAGTGTATCCTCAGTGTGTCCCTAGCATGTCCTCAACGTGTCCCAACGTGTCCAAAGTGTCCCGGCGTGTCCAATTCTTTTCAGCGTGTCCGACATGTGTTCGGCGCATGTCCGTGTCCGACACCTGTACGCGACCTCTGGAGAGGTGTCCGTTCTTCATAGTCTGCCCCTATCATACCACATTTTAGAGTATGTGGTATAGCTAGTGTTTCGAAACGATTCCAAAAGTTTTTTTTTCAATATATTTCCTTAAATACTTTCTTAGGAGGAAAAACATTAAATATAATGATTTAAATTCTGAGGTGAGTTAAGTTTTGATAAAATAAAACATCAAAAATAGGTTATAATGCTCATATAAATATTTTGTTATATGAAGAAAAAAGAAGAAGAAAGAAATGAAGAAAATAGAAAAGAAATAAAACCATATATTACTCTACAAGTACCTCAAATTCGTAAGTGCAATATATACAAGTCTGCCCCCTAAGAAGTACAGACGTGGACACGTGACACGACACGAACATACGAACACGTAAATTCTCAAAAAATACAGGACACAACACATTGAGGACACGTTCAAAAATATATTTTTATATTTTTATTGTATGTTTTATTTTAAATATTTAATAAATATTTTATGTTAAATATTTAATTTTATCAAATTTATCAACTTTAGGTATGCTATTTATTTTAATTTTTTTTGAAAAAAGTAGTATTCAGTGTGTCCCTAGAGTATCCTTAGCGTGTCACTAATGTGTCCTCAACATGTTCACAGCGTGTCCCAACGTGTCCGCAACGTGTCCAACTCTTTTCAGCTTGTCCAACACGTGTTCGGCACTTCTCCGTGTCTGACACGTGTCGGACACCTATACACGATCTCTAGAGAGGTGTCCGTACTTCATAGTCTGCCCCTATCGTACCATATTTTAGAGCATGTGGCGTACCACATTCTCGTTCCTGTTCCATGTACCAAAACGATCCACTTTCCTAGTAACATAGTTACTGTATTAGCATTCAATTGAGCAAAGAAAAGCCAAACAATGATTTGGTTAGGAGGATACCGATAGTGGAGCTGCAGTTGCAACTTGCAACACTGGCCTGTAGTTTAAAATTATGTGTCTTTAATATTTGTTGTGAAGAAATGTAAAATGTAATAATCTTAGATGTGTCGATGAAGCTATCGCATTGCGTGGATTAATTGACTATGTTTCCTAGTTGGACAGCCTCACTTCATTTAGTTCTGCCACACAACAAATGTGTAAGAGTTCAAAATTTTGAACTTCTATATAATTGATGGCATTGATATAGCGATGAATTCCACAGTTGTCAAATATTGTGCTGTGTAACGCATTGATTTCTGTACTTTGATTATTGTTTATTGTATTTCATGATATTGTAGTTTGTTATTGTAAGACAACCTTGAATTTTTGCTGCAGATTTGGCTCAAAATCGCTATTTTGAAGATGAAGCTTTCATTGGCTACTTGAAATACCTTCAATATTGGCAACGACCAGAGTACCTTAAGTTTATAATGTGAGCTTATTTTCAAAATTCATGACCATCTAATATTGTTTGTCGTGTTAATTGAACTGGGGTAGCAACACAGTGATCCCTTATCTGTTGGCTTATTTTTATAAATTAAATAGACTAGCTGTCTTATATTTTAAATTTATGTACTCATTTTGATTTTGTTTTTGTTTTTGTGTTTTTTTTTATGATCACAGGTATCCACATTGCCTATTCTTTCTTGAGCTTCTCCAAAATGCAAATTTCCGGAATGCAATGGCACATCCTGGCAACAAGGTGGTTTTCTGTACGTGTGTATGTGTGGTATATTATATCCAATGATCAAAGGAGTGTAGTTTATTTTTTCTTTCAACTCTACTTTATTTTATAGCGTGATTTTTCTCACACTATTACTAATGACTCACAAAAAAGGAGCATGTTGTGTTGGTAGTAAACACTAAAAGGGAGAACACATATTTGTATTGACTGAAATTCCATGGTGGCTTTCTGATTCGTCAGGGTTTAGTAGCATGATTAGATTAAACGGCATGCATTATCATTTCAAAAATGTTCTTTTAGGTTGCTTTCTAACAAGTATCTTAAAGTCCCTTTTGGCTGTTACATATTTGTTGTATCCTAATCATAATGTGGCCAAAGGAGATGATTTTAAGTAGTATGTGGCAGATTATTTCCTTTGCTTTTGTCCTCATATTGCATAAATATTGGATATTGCTCTTTACAAAACAATGGTGATTTAGATTTCAAACCACTAAAAAAATAAAAAAGAAAGAAAAGAAGAAGAAGAAGTTAATATTATTAGCATTGATTAAGAGGATGCTTTTGTAGCATAATGTTACCATAGAAGCATGAGTAGCTGGACTGAAGAAGTGGATGGGCTCTAAAGCATCTAATATTATTTTGCTTTTTCTGAAACTGTTAGGAATTGGCACACCGGCAACAATTCTATTTTTGGAAGAATTACAGGAACAACCGCTTGAAGCATATTTTACCAAGGCCCCTTCCTGAACCTGTTGCTGCACCTCCAGCTTCTGTCCCACCTCCCATACCACCTACAACTATGCCTGTATCTTCTGTCCCTCTACCTGGTTCTGCTTCTTCTCCGGCTCTATCTCCTATGCAGTATGCCATTCCCCCTGGGTCTGCTCTTGCAAAGAATGATCCAAGAAATAGTGGGGTTGATCGAAGAAAGAGAAAGTATGTTCTCTTCCCTTTTTCTGCAGTTAACAATCTTAATTTGCTCTGCATGTTTATATCCTTAACCTTTTCAAAAGCTATAATGGTAAAACTTCTTCAATTGTTACATTAAAAGCAATTCAGGATAATTCTATCATATTTAAATATTTGTTTATTGCAGGAAAGAAGTATGACTAGACTTGTCATTTATAAGGAAGTGATAGATATTTCTCCATTAGTTGAGGTAATTTTGTTTTCAATCCCTTTGGTTAATGTTGAATCATAGGTAGCCAATAATTCCATGTTTAAAATTTTTAAATCATATTTGTGATTTCAATAGATAGATATATATGAAACTTGACGTGTATGGGGGTTTAACTTATTACAGAAGAGAAGAAAAAAAATGAAAAAGAAAGAAAATTGTCTTGGGAGCTACAAATTTAAAAATTTGTACTTTCGGTATTTTAAAGTTATATAGTATCTATGATTTCTTCCCCCCTTTCTATTTTCTTTTGTAGCAGTCATATTATAAATTAGAAATATTTGCTAACAAGAGTAACTAGGGTTTGTGTTAGCAAATTATATGAAGTTAGAATGATGTGTACTAGTCAACATCTGAGCTTTGATTCTTGACGTTTCCCTTAAATCCTTGAAAATGTATGTGTCAAGCTGATTGAACGGAGCCTGTTAATGTTCAGACCTACTTTCTGCATACAAAATTCTCAGCGTGAAGTTATTGACTGTATTGATGATCAAGTACTAGTAATCAAGATTTCTCTTTTGTGATTTACCTCTAGTCTATAGACTAATTATTCTTCCAAGTTCCAAGAGATTGATTTTTTGCTTGTTTTCCCTTATTAATTCTCTTGTGGATAAATAATACATGCTTGTGATATTCCTTTTTAAATGATTTGCTTTACATCTCCAATAATTTCAAATAGGTCAATATATTGGGTAGCGTATGAGATTATTTTGATGTCTTTGATTTGTTGAAGAACTACATTTATGATTGATATACAAATACTAATCTACTGTTCTAATCATATTGCATTTGCTATCATAAATCCTACTCAAAGAATTGGTGCTTATCATTTCTTGGTCCGACACCTTGTTTGTGCCGTGACTAGCTGGTTTTCATTCTTAGGAATCTCTTGAAGTGTTAAATTGATGGGACTTTTGTTGAACTTTTTTATTAATGACTGATGTTAATTTGTAAACTTTGTTTTAAGCTCTTGGTATCACACGCCTACAATTTAAGTCTCACATAGAGACACGAAGGAGCTATTGGTGAGCTACCTACCTTGTTGAAGTGTTCATCGGTTTTTGGGTTGAGCTAGGAAAATCCTATTTCATGTATTTGTGATTGTTGAGCATTGTAAAGGTTTTAGGTTATCATAGGGAAACCTGTTAGTGTTGTAAAGGCTTTGGGGGAACCTAAGAAAAATCCTTTTGGTTTAGTGGATAATGCTAGCAAGGCTGATCAGGAGTGGATGTAGGTAGACGCTGGGTGCTACCGAACCACTATAAATCCTTGTATTGATCCTTTTACATTCCTTACACGTATTTATTTCTATCTTGAATGGTTGTGATGAATACTCAATCAAGTGATCATTGTTGATACCATTGTTTAATTAGCATTTTAAAGAACTGATGATCAATGATTCGTTAATGTGGAACTAAAGTTTCGTGGAATTGATTTGAATAGAATTGGTTTAGGTTGAATAAATTCAAGTTCGCTAACCTTCCTAGTAAAGTAAAATGAAATTAAATGAATAGTAAAGAAGGGGAAAATGTTTGTCTAACCAATGCAAGTATATGGAGAAATTTGGGTTAAGGACTTGAAAGCTAAAAATATTAGAATTGTATTATTCACACCCCACTCCTCTCTCTAGAACAATTTCACAGTGGGTTGAGGCTTGACTAGGCCTAAATGTTAAGGTTGCCTTCTATTTTGATCTACCTTAGCATTTGGTATGGAAGCCTAGCTTGTCAGGTGCAAAATTCGCCCTACACTTTTTCTACTAAGGTTGCACCCCTTGGTGCCTCGTTATAATGCTGGGAGGCTCTTCAAGTTTTTTTTTATTATTGTAATGTACTCTTGTTTTGCTGCAATGGTGAAAAGCTTGAGTTAGCAAGCTTGAGAATGCAGGTTTAAGAATCAGAGCACCCACTTTTTATCATACTTCAAATTTAAGGTTTGCTTGCTGTCTTTCACCTCCCTTCATTAATGGGATTGACACTAGGTAATGTCCTTTTCGGTCTTTTAGAGAGAAGTTATAGACAAGAAAAGACACTAAAAAAAATCTCAAAATGCTATAGAATCCTTTTTTTGGTGGCTTTTTGGCAATTAAACTACTCATATTGCTGCTCTTTCTAAGATCAACATGTAAGATAAAAGGATCTTGCTTTTCCTTTATCTTCCAGAATCTAAGCTGTCAACCGAGCCTATGCAGCCAGTGGGCAAGGTTGCACCAGCCCAAGTTGGGCCAAACATATATGCCGACAAACACCATTGACATATTCTATGACTGCCCCTATTACTTCTTCATAATTTTCTTTTTTGATTATTCATTTTCCCCATATAGTATGTTTTGTCACATTTTCTGCTTATATGACCACTTGCTACCTTGACAACTATTTGTCTTAATTCCATTGGCTTTATGTTGTGTGGCAGAGAATGTGCTCATTTCTGTGGTCTTCTGGATGGAAAACCCATCTGGTCCATGGGTGAACCCTGTATGACAGTGTCAGCTGATTTACCTTTCTCAACCCCCTCGAAAACAAAATAATCAAGGACCCCTCAAACTAGGATAGTTCACCATTCAGACGTGTTCTAAAGCTAATGCATGAGTTGCGAATAGCATGTTATTTATAGATTTCACTAATTTGTACATGATGTGTGTTCTTTTCTAGCAAGCAAACGTTTCTATTTTCTGTTTTGTTTGAGTTTGCAATTGAAATGCATGTTTCCTTTTCAGAGGCAGTATCAGTGCTTAAACCGGCTCCATGTCCATACTCGGTCAGTTAGCTGCAATGGAGTTTCAATTGCTATTGTATGATGCTTGATGACATCATAATTCTTTTTGCAGATCGATTGCCTTGGTAGCTCAGCCTTCTGTGTATGTGTATAATGGACACCTTGCAGCTATTACAATTGAAAAGAGATCAAACCTCACCTTGAGATTGCAGCAACCATGTATGCTTGCTTACTCTCTTTGGTTAAAGCGTATTATATTCTTCCTTGCTTCAATTACCAATCCACCATAATTGTTGATTCCCAGTTGTCAGCAAGGGTTGAAGCTGTTTTAGAGACAACTATAGTTTTCTGTTTTTCTATGCCGTCATGTGGCTTATCTCATTTATTCTCCTCCTTCAGGTTTTGTGCTGGATTTTGATCATTTTACTGAATTTAAGTACGCCCTGCTTTAGTTTTTCTTGATGTAGAGCTAGTTTAAAAATCTCTCTGAGCATATAGTTTCTAAATTTTGGGATGCCCTTCAAAATGTAGCTTCTTGATTTTTATTTTCTGTCACCAGTGTTACTCAAAACATGTCAACATGGTGTAAGGAGATGGTAAGCTGTATGCTTATGGGAAATGATATCCTGAATAGGGAAACTTTATATAGCACTCGATTATAATTAGGGCAAAATCCACCTTACCATATGACTCGTGAACATTTTACCCTGTATTTTAAAAAGAACCACATATCCCCATGGGGTTTTTGATATGCGATGCTGATTCTATTAATGTTTACCCATTTTTTTCTAATTTAATTCTATATTAACCAATTAAATTACGGATTAATCCAAATAACCCTGATATTATAATCTATTTTCTAACTTTTTAACATAATGTTTAATTTGTTTACATCTTTAATTATACATACACATATATATACAATATAGATAAAAATGGTAAATGTTTTTACGTCATTGATATTTGACTTTGACCAGAGAAATTTTCTCTCCCCAAGTGCATAGAAATATAATATGGAGTACATAGCGTATTGTGTGGTCAGATATATAAAAGAAGTGTATTGTATGGTTAAATTCATTATTTTATTTTATTTTTTGTTTGAGGACATGGAACAATATATTGATAAAGCATCAAGAGTACAGAAATAAGATCTCACAGGGTCATTCCAACTAAACAAAAAAAATAAAAACAACAACAAAAAACAAATCCATCAAAAAAGCAGTTACGATTTAAGAAAATCATTGGTCTTTTTAAAGATGTGGTTTGAAAGAAAGTCGATGTTGCCCAACGCCGCCGCTACTGTCATCAGAGAAGGGAGGACATCCATAATGATATGGGAGAAGGGTGTAGAGAGGAGGAAATCATTGTGGGTGTCTTGTAATATTAAAAAATTATACTGAAATCGGAGGAAAAAACTTTCAAAACTATTATTTCGGACAAAAAAAAAATCTATATCTACACTTGAAAATGGTAGATTTATATTCTAAGAATGTAGATTTATATTTTAAAAGTAGAAAAATGATCACCGAGAAATGGCCGAAGGCTCTGGACTCATTATGTTTTCTTACTTCTAAATGTGGTTAAAATTCATTGGGTGTAATGGCTGTTAAATTAAATTCACCCACACAATGTACATTATTATTTTTATGAACCAAGCACTATTGTTTCTTTCACACTCCAAATACTCTACACAAAATCTGATGGTGGGTAGAAAATGTAACAGCAGTAGTTTTGCCTAAAACCATGGAAAGGTGTGTGGCTACTTTTTAAAGAAATGTAGCTGAGTCGTTTCACAATGAGATAAATTAAATTTTGCTTTATATTTTATAAAATCATAAATAGTGATTTGGTTTTGATTTATTTTAAAATGGAATCAAACTGAACTATGTTCATTCTAATTTACGGAGATCTTCGTGTGTCCTTTCATGACAAAGAGATGCCATGGGAACACAACTTGAATGCCAACATGACATCTATGGTGTAGTTAGGATTGCGTAAAATACCATTTAATTTATTAAGATTATACCGGTCTGTTCTGTACTAATTTGTATCGATCTATTTGCTAACTGCGATTTAATTTTGAAATCTATAATCTGTTTTTGAAATCGTTTCACCTTGCTATAGTTAATACATATATTTTTTTAATCTCTAATGAAATATCAAAATAGAATGAGTGAGAGAGATTTAAGATGTGAAATTTTGTACAAATTAGTAGTTATATATATGAAATATATTATGTAAATTAGTGTCATATATTATGCAATAACTTGATAATTATCTAAGAATATTTTTTAATAACGTAGCAAATTGAAGTCGTTTCAAACCGTAGTTTGATTATTTGTCAATCCGTTATTTATGATTTGATTTTGTTAGCACCATAAATCTACAATTTTTATTATTATTTATTATTTATATAATTGCAGGACACGTGACATCCTCTTATTCATTTGGAAGTTAAAAGAATTTATAGAGATAATGGAGAATATGAAGGACAAAGTGGATGAGTGGGAAGACAAAGTGGATGAGTGGAAGGACACATGGCAAGACAAGAATGAAGATGGAAGAAATGGGTAGTTACTAAGTAGTTATTGCTGTATTTTTTCCTCTATAAATAGCCATTAATGGCTAAATGGTAAAGGATCCAGAATTCATAATCAAAGACAATTGATTTCAATATTTCTTGTCATTTTCCTTATCTTAGGAGTAGTTTAACATAGA